ACAGAGGCAAGAGGATTGCCTGAGCCCAGCCTGGGCAACATGTCAAGACTTTGTCTCTACAATAAATAAAGAAAATTAGGTAGGCATGGTGGTGTGCACCTGTAGTCCCAGCTACTTGGGAGGCTGTTGCTGAGGGATCGCCTGAGCACAGGAGGTCGAGGGTGCAGTAGCCATGAGTGTGCCACTGCACTCCAGCCTGGGCGACAGAGTGAGACTGTGACTCAACATAACAACAACAACAACAATAATAATAATAAACAAAATAAGACCACCTTTTCAGGTTTCAGTCTTGATCTCCGCAGGTGGTCTCTGAACTCTCTTCTCCTCTATTCTGGAAAGTGATCATTACATTGGCCACGACAACTGGGACGGCAGGGACATGATGTTGGGTGGAACAGGAAGGAAGTAAAACAGGGACACCGGAGGGCATGGGCAAAATCAGGGTTACCTTCTGGCTCCGGAGGTCCCAGGCCATGTGGAAAAGGGCTGGAGCCCATGGGGCTGGGTCCGCCAGAGGCAGGAGAGAAGGTGCAGGAACAAGGAAGGGTGGAGGCGGTGCTGCGTTTTCAGAGACCTCTTGGCGTCAGGCAGGGCCTGAGCAGGCTCTGTTCCCACCACACCCAATATTCAGCCCCAGGCGGAACCCCGGAGTCCGGCCAAGGACGGCCTGGTGGCGTGAAGTTTAGCTCTCTGTTTACAAACCAGAAAAATAAGTCCAGGCGCGGTGGCTCACGCTTGCAATCCCAGCGCTTTGGAAGGCTGAGGCGGGGGGACGGCTTGGGTCCAGGAGTTCAAGTTAGTCTGGGCAACTCAGGAAGACCACGGAAAAATTAGGCGTCCCAGCTACTCTGAAGGTTGAGGCAGAAGGTTTTCGTCGGAGTCCAGAAGGTCGAGGCTGTGGTGAGCCTGGATTGCACCACTCCACTCCAGCCTGGGTGAGTGAGAGAAACTCTGTACCAAAATTAAAAAAAAACAATGTAAAAAAGAGTCTGGGTTCAGTAGCTCATGCCTGTAATCTCAGCACTTTGGGAGGCATAGGTGAGAGGATTGCCTGAGCCCAGGGGTTCAAGACCAACCCGGGCAACTTGGTGAGACATCATCTCTACAATAAATAAAAAAATTAGCTGGATGTGGTGGTGCCTGTGGTTCCAGCTACTTGGGAGACTGAGGCGGAAGGATTGCCTGAGTCCAGCAGGTCGAGGCTGCGGTGGCCATGAGCAGGCTACTGCACTCCAGCCTGGGAGACAGAGTGAGACTCTGGCTCAAAAAAATAAATAAATAAAAATAAAAATAAACAAAGCAAAATACACAAACATTCCTCGTGGATATTGATGACAAAATCCCAAACACAATCTTTATCCAATTTAACCCAGCAAGATTTAGAAGGGTAACCTGTGTTGACCTTTGACTTGCCCTGCCAAAGCCAACTATCACCATTTACCATAAAAAGATGGAATCAAGCTGGGCTCGGTGGCTCAGTCTGTAATCCCAGCACTTTGGGAGGGTGAGGTGAGTGGATTCCCTGAGCCCGCGGGTTTGAGACCTGGCTGGGCAACTTGGCGAGACCTCATCTCTACAATAAATCAAAAATGAGCCAGGCATGGTAGCGCGCACTTGTAGTTCCAGCTACTCGGAAGGCTGAGGCAGAAGGATCGCTGGAGCCCAGCAGGTCGAGGCTGCGGTGGCCGGGAGCGGCCACTGCACTCCAGTCTGGGCAACCGAGTGAGATTCCAACTCAAAAAAAAAAAAAATTTTATTTTTAATTAACTGGATGTGATGGTGTGCACCTGTAGTCCCAGCTGCTCAGGAGGCTGAGGCAGGAGGACCACTTGAGCCCAGTGAGCTGTGATCACACCCCTGTACTCCAACCTGGGCAGCAGAGCGAGACTCTGCCTCTACCAAAATAAAAGTGGGGGAGAGGAGAGCAGTTATCAGTTTATTCACCAAAGTGCATTAACCATACTGCTATTGTTCCGTGATGGGGGCTCGAACCCGTCACCCAACTCCCACTGCTGCCCACCTCCCTCCCTGGGCTCGCTCCAGGAAGGGGACAGGATGGCAGGTTTCTGAAGGAGTCACAGCCTCCGCCCCCACCCATGGCCCTGGGGTCACCGTGCTGAGGACGGCAGGGCCAGTGTTCCCAAGAGATGTAGGCATCTGAGATCATGTGATCAAGTCCAGGGCGAGCCGTGGCCCCGGCGAGTCAGAGCCCTCATCAGATTTGAGCCGACGGTTGTGCAAGAGCGGACATCTCCAGGTTCCTTTCATGTCAGGGAGCAACAATATCAGGAACCCGGTGATCGACACAGCATGGGCCCATGCTGTGCCAGTTTCTCAGGTGGAGGGCACCCTGGAATCATGTGACAACCCTACAGGGGACTTCTGTCAGTCCTCTTTGGCAGATGAGGGCATCAAGGTTCTGGGAGCAGACGTTGGCACTGCCAGGAAGCGCTGGCATTGGCCTGAGCCAGCACCGGCTGCTGCTTCGTTCCACTGGACGTGGCTCTCATAACTGCCTCCCGGGAGTCCTTGTCGCGGCCTGCCAGGCACTTCTGGGGCTCTGGCGTCCCCCCCAAGCTGTAGGGGATCTGCCAAGAGCTCTCCATTCTGCGGAAGTCCCTCCTAATTCTATGGGCTCGGGAGACCACCCAGCCACCCCCTGCGGAGGCAGAACCCCTGGGGATCCGTGTCTCTGCTGGGGATGTCTGCCCCAGACAGCAGAGGCCTGTCCCCAGCCCACACCTGGAGCTGGATCACCCGTGGACGACACATTCCGGAGGGCGGGGGAGAGGAGAGAAGGAAGACACCCTCACTCCTCTGCTTAGCATCTGGGAAAGGTGGCGCCCTTGAGCTCCCAGAATGTGCAGAAGGTATTTTAACCAGGTAGGGCTTGAGATTGGACATGAGTTGTTTTTTTTTTTTTTGAGTTGGAGTCTCGCTCTGTCGCCCAGGCTGGAGTGCAGTGGTGCGCTCACAGCCCCCGTGGCCTCGGCCCACTGGGCTCAGGTGATCTTTCCACCTCAGCCTTCCAAGTAGCTGAAACTAAGGGGCAACTGCCCCATCTGGCTAACCTTTTGATTGATGTAGAGACGAGATTTCGCCAAGTTGCCCAGGCGGGTCTCAAACCCCTGGACTCAGGCAATCCTCTCGCCTCTGCCTCCCAAAGTGCTGGGATGACAGGCGTGAGCACTGCGCCTGGATTGGACTGGGGTCGGGCGGGGGGGGGGCGGTTAATAGCAGTGGACTGGCTGGATCGGGCACTCCTGAGCTTCTCAGGGCAAAGCCAAGGTCAAGGTGCAGGTCCCCAGAGGGGTGGGACACGCAGGAGCCTCTGAACAGAAGCTCCCAGGATTTGGGGAGCGTGGTCAGGGTCTTGCATCCTATCTGCAGGGGCATCGGCCCTGGGAGGACTGCCACTGTGGAAGATGTGGTGGCCTGGCAGCCATGGGGCGGGGCCAGCAGTCCTGCAGGCTGGGCCTGGGAGACCCAATTGCTTTTCATTATCAGTGGGCGGGCCTCTTGTGTGGCTGTGTCCCTGCCCAATCCCAGTGGGGCCAGCTGGGAGAGGGTTTCCTCCCCCGAAAGATCCTGTGGGCTACGGGTTGAATTGTGGCCCCCCAAAAAGACATGTTGAAGTCCTGACTCCTGGCACCTACGGATGTGACTCCAATCTGAAAATAGGGTCTTTTTTTTTTTTTTTGAGTTGGGGGTCTCATTCTGTCGCCCAGGCTGGAGTGCAGTGGCACAATCATGGCTCACTACCGCCTTGACGCCCTGGGCTCAAGCCATCCTTTCACCTCAGCCTCCTGAGTAGCTGGGACTACAGGCGCATACCACCATACAGGCGCATACCCAGCTAATTTTCTGTAGAGATAGGGTTTCACTATATTGCCCAGGCTGGCCTTTAATTCCTGGGCTCAAGCAATCCTCCTGCCTCGGCCTCCCAAAGTGCTGGGATTATGGGTGTGAATCATCGAGCCTGGGAAAAATGGGGCCTTATATGTTGAAGTCCTGTGGACTTGACCTCATCTGGAAATAGGGCCTTTGTAGATAAGTAGATGTAAGTTGAGGTGGGGTCAGACTGGAGTGGGTACGTTGGGCCCTAAGCCAGTATGACTTGTCATTGTAAGAAGAGGACATAGCCATCTACAGGGAGACAGACGCAGACCCAGGGACAAGACCACGTGACGACAGAAGCAGAAAGTGGAGGATTTCTGGCCTCCCCCAGACGGGCTGGTTCACACTCTGCTGTGCTGCCTCCTGGCTGAGCAACCTTGGGCGAGTCAGCGGTCTGCTCAGGACTCCAGTCTTCTCATCTCGGAAATGGGTGCATCAGTCACCCGTCATCAGAGGATCACTGGGAGTCGTTGGCAAGCGCTCATACACAAAGTACTGGCTTGGGGAACTCACGGCCTCCACCTGGCTTCTGCTGACCTCGACCCCTCCTCCCTCTGTCGGGGGCATCTCGCCCCCTCCTCTGGCTCCCTCCCCTCATTCCCTCCTTCTTGGCTCAGACTTCCTCTTCCTGGGACCCTGCCTGATCCCTGGTGGCTGAGCCAGGCTCTCACTCTGAGCTCTCACTCTTGCCCGTTCCTCCCTGCAGCTCCTGTCAGGCATGGCTGTGTTTGCCTGGCCACCGGTTCACTTCCAGGGGGAGAGGGACCGGCTCAGCCAGGAGTGAGGGAGGGGCTCTGGGAAGGCCTGAGGCTGGAGGGAGGGCCATCGGTCCACCAGGATCACAGGGAGGGCCTCCGGGGGACAGCCAGTGCAGAGCCTGGAGGTGGGGGAGCGCTGGGCGGCAACCTCGGGGAGGAGGGACCACCCAGCCCGGGCAAGTCCAGGAGCAAGCCGGCCCATACCCAGTGCTCCTGGGCCACCGGCACCACAGCGCTGTCTGGGCAGGATAAATCAGCCTACGGGTTCAAGAGGCTCTCTCGCCTGGGAACGCCCGTGGGTCTGGAGCAATTGCATCACACAAGGACAGAACCACACCACAGCAGTCCGTTTGCATATCACCTGTATTGTCCCGTGAAATGCACATCCATAAACGGTTGACTTGGGAACGACCTATTAGGTCACACGGAGTCCGGCCCCTGGGGGCCAAAGCCGCATCGATGCCCATGGGCCATGGCCCGTGCTTTCCTGGGCTGCAGCGTGTGCCCTGGTCTCCCCAGCTCTGGGGCGGGGTGCTGGGAGAGGCCAGCTCGCCCCTCAGGCCTTTCAGCTCCCAGGCAGCAGCTCCCAAATGCGCTTGAGGACACGGCGGTTCCTTGGTGCTGAAGAGCTGTTTCTCGAGAAAAGGGTTCTGTGGTCCAATAAGTTTGGGAAACATGGGTTAGACAAGGCTCGGCAGGAAGCTTTTTCTACAGGACTTGTCAGAGCCTTTATGGCAAGAATAGCCCTCGTGAATGTCCCACATGGTAGAGTTTGCAACGCTTCCCCAACTTTTTGGACCAGAGAACTCTTTTGCACCCCCGAGTCGGCTCGAAGACTGGCATCCCGCGGGGCGCCCGCCAGAAAGTGCTGCCCTGGGCGTTCGATGGCCGTTAAAGGCAACGGCACATGCGTCGGGCAGCGGGTGGGGCCGTGCGGACGGGCATCGTGCTGTGGCATGAGGGGCACAGCCAAGAACTCAGCAGTTATGAGGATGAGGACGAGACGCAGCCCCTCCTGCCATCCGGGCTCTTGCTGTTGTCTCCCGAGCAGAAGCTAAACGGGCCTGTCACCCGCACGCTTGGCATCCAAGCAAAAGCGCCGGAGACCCAGCACTGTGAAGGCCGGCCTGAGGCCGCCAGCCTCCAACTGGACCGGGAGGACGAGGCCAGCTCTCGCCCGCCGCCCCGGCGCCCTCTCTTGGGCGCGCTCACCAGGCGGAGATGAGCATCTGGCAGGTGTTGGACGACATCCAGACCAGCTCCACCAGGCGGAACTGCAAGTAGCCGATGATGAAGCCGGAGATGACGTCCGTGATGTGGTGGCGGCCGATCATCACGCGCGACAGGCCCACGCAGAAGGCCCAGAGCACCAGCAGGACGCGCAGGGGCACGGCCAGCACCAGGTGGCTAAGGAAGAACTTGGACACCATGGCCGCGCGGCTGGCGTGCCCGGCGGGGAAGGCGTACACGTCCATGGTGAGGTAGTCCAGGAGGCTGGGGCTCGTCTCGTACGGGCCGCGCCGCTTGATGAGCTTCTGCACGCCGGCCACCGTCATGATGTCCAGGAGCAGGGCTGCGGGCGGGAGACAGAGGCCCCGGGCGGTCAGGCCACCCACCGGGCCGCGCTGTGGCCCAGCCCCGGCCACCTCCTCCCCTCTTTCGCTTCGCCCAGCCCCGCCGGCCTCCAGGCAGGACCCGTCTCAGGGTCTTTGCTCTTGTTGGTCCCTTACCCAGAATGCCCTTCTCTCTGATACTTCCTTTGGCAGAGAAGCCGACCCTAGCCACCCTGTTTGTAAAAGCCCCCATCCCTCTGGATCGGCCTGCTTTATTTTTTTCTTATCGCCTTTTTCACCCTCTGGCATATTACCCATTTCTCCCCTCCCTCCCTCCTTTCATTTTTTCTCTGAGTGGCGGCTTCGTTCTGTTGCCCAGGCTGGAGTGCCGTGGGGTGACCATGGATCACTGCACTCTTGACCTCCTGGGCTCAAGTGATTCTCCCGCTTCAGCCTCCCGAGTAGCTGGGACTACAGGCATGCGCCACCACACCTAAACAATTTTTTTTTTTTTTGAGTTGAAGTCTCACTCTGTCGCCCAGACTGGAGTGCAGTGGCCGC